ACCTAGTAAAGAATCCACAACACTAATCCTCATTTATTTTTTTCTACATATACATTAAATAAAAAAATTCTTGAAAGAGGAATTACTTATTTAAAAACAAATGTCCTAATGCTAGTGTAACTTTAAAGGGAAAAAAACACCAGTGGGATTTAGTTTTAAATTGTATGTTTTTGTTTTTAAACTGTTTTTAATCACTTATTCATTATGTTGTGTTTTAATGTACAGCACTTTGTATCAGCTGTGGTTGTTTTAAAGTGCTTTATAAATAAAGTTGATATGGTATGGTAAAATAAAATCTTACTTCGTGTGGAGAAATCAGTACAGTTCAAAGTTTAGTACCTTTTTTAAACAGTCCTGTTCTTTATTACTAATCCTTTAAGTCAGATTAAATCAAAGAATTTGTGCCTTAAGAGGTCTACTTTTATTGCTTCTGATGTACTGTTTGTACAACAGGAGACAAACAGTTCACCTGGTAAAATTATGTTAAATATCAAACCTAAAACAAGTTGCTGCCAATAAGTTTATAATTGTTCTCAAGAAGCACCGAATTATTAAAAACAATATTTCCTTCAAATTAAAYTTGGTAAAACATGCGAAGTTCAGTGGAAAACTTTACATACTTAGGTTATTTTTTTACATATAAATTATAACTTATTGTCGGTAAAATAACAGTTTTAATCACATTCATAAATATCAAACACAAGGAGTTCTGAAACAATTCAATTTATTTAGGATTGAACCCATTATTACAAAAACATCTGGATTTGACCGACAAAAATAAACCACAGGACTTATTTACAAGTGTGTTATCTACAAAAAACTWTCCTTGAAGAGAAGAGAGAAACTTTTGGAAAAATGAGAACCAGACTCTCAGCTGCTGATGGTTCCTCCCAAAGATCCTTCAGCTAAGATCTCCTCAGACCTTCAGTCTTACAGGATGAGTCTCACTGATCCGCCTCTCAACCTTTTTTTCATTTGTTACGATCTAAGAAGCCTCCTCGTCGATCTTTGGAGCCAGGTAGTATTTGACGTGACCCATATCAGCGATCTTGTACTCCACCACTGCAGAGACAGAAACCAGTCATGTTAGGAGCTGTGGCTCAAACAATAAAACCAYCCAAAGATAGAAAAGCGTTGCCTCTGCTCACCGAGGGGGATGTCAGCAGACATACTGAGGGTGACGGTTTTAGACAGAGGTGTGGCTTTTGTGAAGAAGTTCAGGTAGTTCAGAGCGAAGATCAGCTGGACAGGTTCGTTCATCTCAATCGTCACCTAAAAAMACAGAAGAAAATTTATGTTAAAAGAAGCAAAGTTTGACTTGAGTGTGAGTGAAGTGGCACACTTACAGCCTCCTCCTCCTTGTCCACGTTGCTGGTTTGGGACAGCTTGATGTTTCCTGTTCCCAGCTCTCCTGTGGCGGAGAACTTCACTCCGTCTTTGGCGCAGGAGATCATGACGGCGTCGCCGATCTGAGACAGGTCGCGGCAGATGCGAGCGAACTCTCCGGAGGGCATCTTCACCACACAGCTGTACTCCTGCTCCTGTTACGACAGACAAGAAAAAAAAACGTCGAGAGCGGCCAACAGGAAACGACGACTGGGACAGAAACTAAAGACCGGCAACGGATTACGCACCGGAATACCGAGCTGCTCCACGTCCAGGTCCATGAGCTTCATTTCATAATCTGAGACTTTCTCCTGGTCTGCAAAATGAGAAAAGTTAGCTTTACATCAGCCGAGAGAAAACAAAGTGTAATTCCAAATAACTCTGATTACAGTTAAATTCAGGTGAAAACTTACTGAGGGTCTCAAAAACAAGTGCGAGTGTGTCTGCGTTGTCTTCTGCTCTGAGGGTGATGATGTCCTCGTTCCCTGCACACTTCAGGATCTTTGACATACTGAAAAAGTTATAGAAAAAGTTAAGCACACAGAAAACCACCAACTAAATATAAATACTGAAAATTCAACTGTTTATATTATGAGTATAATGGATAATTAAATACTTCCTTTAAAACAACAAAATAATAGATATATAGTGAAATTGCAAAACAATGTGCATCAATGTACAAAGTGATAATGTGAAACTATTTCATTAAATAAATTAAGCAGGTTTTATTAAGTCAGGGCGGGTAAAGTTTCAGAAGGTAGTGACGTAAACGGAAGTGGAAGTTCCCGGGTTTGATCGCCATTCCCGCCAACTTCTGCCGGCACAAAATTTGGCGCTCAACTTGCGTCGTGTATGTACTTGTCAAATTGCACTAACTGTCATTTTATTTCCCGTTTAACACAAACATGCAGAGAAACATGTCAACATTCAATTTTAACTTTTACTGCGCAGAAACATGCCCGGGCAAATCCGCCATGATGGCATCCTCCTTTGTCAGCTTTAGACAAKAAACACCGATATCTAAAGAATATTTCAAAAATAAAACTACCAATCCATAAAGGCAACAATAATGAATCCGCGTTTAGTTTAAAAGTGTTCAGTTTAAACTGACCTGGTCAGGTTGACTCCCATGGCCAGGTTTCTGTCACATCGGTACGAGTCGAAGCCGTCATGTCGCAGAGTGAGCTGGACCAGAGAGACGTGGGACGAGTCCATGCTCTGCAGAGAGATGCCGGAGGAGCTGACGTCCCAGCAGGCTTCTGTGATCAGATCCTTCAGGGCCTCCAGCACCTTCTTCAGGATGGAGCCTTGGACCAGGCGAGCCTCAAACATGGTTSCTGTGGTGAAGGGTTCTGCGTAGACCGAAAAAGAGAGGAAAAATAGGCTTCCGTCGCTTTTAGCGTCGAACCGTGAAAAGGAGGCAGGAGTGYGGAGGTCCTTGGAAGCGTGAGGGGAATAAAATCTAAAAAAAAAAAAAAAAATCGGTCTTTGTGTGTCGGTAGAGCTAAACGACTTCACACAAACGTCCCTCAAGCAAGAAGCTGAAAGTTTGAGCWAGAARCGCGCGCTGACATGTTTTTATAATWTTGCGTCATGACGTCATTTTTGGGCGCCGATGCGTACCGTTAACTTGTAAAACGAACGCAAGCAAAAATTTTCACTATACGGTATTAGACAGGGCAAATTCCTGAATATAATTTCAAATATTGTCCTAAAATATAGAAAAACAAATAAAAACCTGTCCATATATTTAAATAACAAACTAAACTAATATAATAAAATCTAAATATTCCACCGGGTAGAATATTTATATTTTATTCTATTAGTTTAGTTTTATTTATGCCCCTCTGTGGCATAAATAAAGTTCAGTTTTTCATCTGCACATAGCATGTGTGACACAATAAGAACTTTATGCTTCAATTTTAACTATTATATTTACTGCATAAAAATAKAAATACTAAAACATAAATAGCCAAAATATTTTTCCTATTCTGGGTCATGACCTGTTTTGACCTTATTCAAACTGTCTGTTATTTGATAGGGACTTTGATAAAAATTTCAAACTTATTTTAGAGTGGGTTTTCCTTTTTGTACTCGCAAGGCTCTATGTACAGATTCCAAAACTATTTAGTTTTTTTTTTTAATCGGACCCCCATTAAGGATTTAGATGTCTTTAAAGGCTGAAAATTGGGAAGCAAGTGCTCCATTGACTTCCATTATAACACAAAAAAGTGTGGAGATCTGTAGACATATTGCGCGTCACAATTTCGCAACGATTTTTCAAACCAAAGCAGAAAGCAAACCAGATAAAACCTTGAGAYAGATTTCAAAATGCTAAGCGGAAGCTAAGCATGAAAACGAGCCAAAAAAAAAAAAAAAATCACAAAAAACCTAAAGTCCCTGTTTTTGATAAAATAAACAGCGTAAACCAATTCACTGCAAAACATTTATTGAATAATGACAAGCACCTTGGTTTACAGACAGTCTCRTGTCAACTGTGTCATCAGTCTGCTGCACAATACTGTTGATTTAAAACCTGAGCAAATAGCTATTGAGGCAAACTAAGAGGTAACAAACAGTCTGACAGAAAAAGGTGTGTGAGTTTAAGATAAATCCACTTGTGGGAAATATTTCATGTAAACTYGTTAGACTATAGGTGCATCTTTTTTTATTATTATTTTTAAATGTTTTAGAGACCATCTGCAAGGATGTAGTTGGTTGCCATTGCGAGGATGGGGGCTCCAGTGGGGACACCGGGGAAAGGACCACTGGACCCAGCGATGTCGACGTGTGAGTATGGCAGAGGCTTGTCAGAATCCACACCGTGCTGCAGAGAAGCAGAAACAAACTCTGAATAATAAACTACACTTCGTTAAACACTCAAGTTATTTCATTTTGTTGCAGGACAGCGAGGGGGCACCTTGTCCAGGCCTGAGGCCATGATGAGGAACGCTGCGGGGGTCTGATGTCCTCGCGGTGTGGCCGAGGACGGCAGGTTGTTGCACTGCAGAATCTCTTCATACTCAGACTTTCCTTTGTGGAATTCGTAATCCTCTCGCCTGATGGTGGAGACCTCAAACACGTCTCCCAACACCTCTCCAGCTGAAAGACAAAAGGTTAAAGAGTTACTTAAAGCTGGTCACAAAATGTAAATCATTTGAAGACAACATAGCTATGGTTAATTCAGCTTAAAACTTGTTTTGAAGTGTCTCACCTTTCTGCCACTGAGCAGCGTTCCTGCTGCGGTGGGCCGGCCCATTATCCATGATGATCTACGAGGAGATGATTCGTTTATAAACAGTGGGGCTCTCCAGACAGTTTGAATTTGTTCTAGAGGAGGACTCACAGAGTAGTTTGGTCCCATGGCTCTGATGGCGTGACCGGTCAGAGTCGCGATGGTAAACAGCTCGGGGGAAGTCTCGTGGACCGCCTGCAGAGACCCAAACAGTCACAACCGAGAAGAGACGCAAGTGAAGACGCTGAGATTCTGGCTCTGCCTCGTCCCTCACCTGCTCCTTCATCTCACACAGGAGGTCCACCATCACCATACGGCCCTCAGCGTCCGTGTTTCCCACTCGGACTCTCCGACCCGCGCGGGACACCACCAGCTCGTCCGCCACGTAGCAGTCTGAGGACGAAAAGACACGGGCAGGTGAGGGGTGACGTCATCAGGAGCATGGACGAGGAGTCCAACACTGACCTGCTCCCACGCTGTTCCTCACCATGGTCATCGCACCAACAACCTTCAGATGCTTAGGCTTCAGCTGGGCTAGGATCTACGAGAAACGACATTCAGTTTAAAACTAAACTGTGCTGCACCGTTCAGGTCTGCCTGACAGCTCATCGAAACAATGCTGCATCTCTCGTCTTGGAGGATTTCCTCTCCCACCTGGAAGAACCCAGCCACAGCTGCAGCGCCACACTTGTCCCGGTGCATCCCGGCCATGAAGCCCCCCGCCTTGATGTCAGCTCCTCCGGTGTCGTAGGTGATGCCCTGGAGTCGTCACATGAGAAGCTGCTTCAGTTCAACCACGTCTCATTCATTACTAACCTCTTCAGTCTCTGTGCTCGAAATAACGTGCTGAAATGTGCCTCAGCAGTTATGAACTCTAATAATCCTGATATTAAAATAAAGCAAACACTAGTGAGATTTAATCAGAAGTGTAAATATCAAAGCAGCTGCTTTTACTCCAGAGATAGTGAGAATGGAACAGAAAAAAACATGATTTTCCACAAACCTGATGTTTTTTTTGCATTAAATGGGTATATAACCCTTTTAAAAATAAGGATAAAAACACAAGGAAATCATAAACTCGCATGTTAACATTACCTGTGCAAAGACTCATGCTGCTAAAATAAACAAGAGCAAAGTTGCAGAGGTTTTAGTAAAAAATAAGCATTTTCTCATTCTGCACAGAACCATGTTGCTACAATCACTAGAGATTAAAAAAATCTTAGTTTTTTTTATTGCAAAAATTATTATTTTTGTCTTACATGCCTAAAAGTCTTGCTTTTGAAAGTTTTTTTTTAATTAAACACATTTTTTTCATCCTATTCGTATAAAACAATGAGAGAGAATTCTGTTTGACTCCAGCTAGAGCACGTTTACTCAAAATCAAGTTAAAAAAATAACTTCCATATTTTGTTTTTTGCTTCGAATTTGCATTACTAAAAAAAAAAATCATTTTTACAGATTTGTGTCAATGCTGTTTTGTCTAATTTGTTTACTTTCTGATCCAACTGCTGTGGTTTTAACTGGTGGATGTAGAAATGTTTTTATGAGCCTTTAGCATAGATTCTGACATTTCTGTGGATATCAACAGTGTTGTATAAACACAGTGATACTTGAGTAAAAGTACAAGTATCTTATCAAAAAATTACTTTGGTAAAAGTTAGTCTCCTTTAGGAATATTACTTAAGTAAAAGTCTTAAAGTATCTGATTATTTTGTACTTAAGTATTAAAAGTAAAAATATTGATTTAAAATGAGCAGTTAGATTTTCTGTAATGACATTTATTAGGAGGTGACCTCCTCAATAAAAAAAGCAAAATGACTATATCGTATTAAAAATAATTAATTTATCGGATGCACTGGTCCAGCTGTTTCAGTTTATATCAAGGCTGCACAAACCTTTTCCCCAAAATGAAAATCTATCTGAGGGCTGCAGCCAAATGCAACAATATAATTCATGAAATTCAAATACTTCTTAAGTACAGTCCTTTTATTTTAATGATTATGTCCTGCTGGAGTGTGACMTGATTTGTTTGTGTACAAACTAAAACGGTATCAAAATTTTATATATTTATATATACTTCTCATTCAACCACAATTAAATTCACTCTAGGAGGAACAATTTATATGGATAGTATTTATTTTTTACGATAACAAGCTGGAATGAAAACAAGCAAAAATTAAATAAAAGTAACGACTTTCTACTTCTTGACTTTTTTTTTAAATGTAAGGAGTAGAAAGTACAGATAATTGTGTGAAAATGTAAGAAGTAGAAGTAAAAGTAGGCTGAAAAATAATTACTCAAGTAAAGTACAGATACCCARAAATTGTACTTAAGTATAGTAAAGAAGTATTTGTACTTAGTTACTTTGCAACTCTGGATATCAAACATCTCTATGTTTAAATGACAGATCTTAATTTAATAGAAATAGAAAACAGGAAGTGTATTTCCCCCCTGTATCGGGGGTGTTGGGCTAAAACGATTTAGTCCTAAGTCGAAACAAATGCATATACTGTATAACTTCATGAACACTGAGAGTCTCGCCTCACCTTTCCCACCAACATGAGTGTMTTTTGGACCGGACCCTCTCCACAGTACTGCAGCTTGATGACTCTGGCCTGATGACGAGGAACGCCTGGAAGAGGAGGAAACAACAGATCACCAGGATGTATTTTTAAGGAAAGCGATAAAAATAAACCTGGTCTCACTGTTGGCACAGCGGTTGACTGCAGCCAGACACGGATACTCTTTCTCCAGAGTCTTCAGGTCGCTGATCACGTCTACCTGCAGGAGGAAACACGCCGAGTCGTCAAACCTTTCTACGTGTCACCAGACTCTGACGGGCTGTGAGAATCCTCCTCACCTTCACCACGCTGTTCTTGAACAGTTCTTGGACGTAGTCGGCCACGCGGGGGGCCGCCATACGTTCAGGGTCTGAGCCGCCGATGTCACGGTAAACCAGCCTGAGGAGGTGAAAGCAGACAGGTTACTGAAAAACTTAAATATTAGACATATATATTAAAAAAAAAACAGTGATATTTTTGACCTCCCACTCTCCAGAGCGTCAGTCAGCTCCACCAGTCTCTTCCCCTCCGCCTCCTGAGCCGACCACAGACCCAGAACGCACGCTTTGTAGTCAGACGGTTTTATGTTCGCCTCTCGCACCTCAAGTGGCTTTAAAGAGAAGTTAGTTAGTTTATTCCTTCATTTCTTTAAAAAACATAAATTCAACATACAACAAAAAAATACAAATCATAAATTAAATGAAAGGTAGCAGAAGAAGATAAAATATTATATCTGCCCCTTTTTCTCAAATAAATAAATTCAATCAAAAATAATCTTTAGTTTATAAAAAAGAAAAAATAAATAGCAGTGGATATATAAAGTGAGAAACGCCCCCTTCGTTTGCAAAAAAATAAAAATAAAAAATCCACTAAGATTTAACAAAACCAGTAGGTTCAGCAGTAAAAAGAATAGCAGCAGCTAAACAATCCTTCAGAAATCATGTTTAATCCTTTTATTACAATCAGTGACTCCTAAGACCAGCAGTGTCCGATCCTGGTCCTTCAGGATCCAGTTCCTGCAGGTTTTTGTTGTGTCCCTGCTCCAGCATGCCTGATTCAAAGCTTGACTTACCTCTTCAGCAGGTATTCAAGAGCTGCAGGAACCCATTAATTAGTTCAAATCAGGTGTGCTGAAGCAGAAAAAAAACACCTAAAACCTGTTTGCTTTCATTTCCCCACCCTCGAGGACCAGGGTTAGATTTTAAAAAGAGGAGTCAAAATCATAGCAATTAATTTAAGATTGACTTTTTAAATATAAAATGAGTTAAACTTCTGAAAGTTAGAGCTTTTGTTTTTGTAACAAAACTTTGTTTTCCTTCTTAAAAACACTTTTCCTCACCGTGTAAAGAGCGTGAAGAGCCCCGAGCGCTGCCACCAAGGTGCTGTTCTTATAGTCTTTATGTGGAGGGCACACCAGCAGGGGGCGCTGYATCCCAGCTTTCAAGGCACTGCAAAGAAAAAAACAAAACAAACAAAAACAATAAATAAAACTTTAAATCACAGAGGGGGTGGACATGAATAAATCAGCAGCAGTGAACTGACCGTTTGATGGCGTTGCCCGCCGCGTCRCTGAAACGTCTGACGTCATCGTAGTCACGGTTCACAGGTCCGGTTGAGGCGAAAACCAGGCGGTTTCCAGGAAGACCAGGAACCCTGAGGATCACCACCTCCTCCCCCAGACCACTGTCCACCTGAAGGCAGAAAAAGATAAATAAAACCAATCTCCACTAAGCATCACTGAAGAGTACATTGCTCTAGCTGCAGTACAGGGAAAAATTTATGAGTTTAAAAACATCACAAGACTGTGAAACTCTTCAGATCCTTAAAAGTATCATCATTATCTTTGTTTAGACTGGTAGGAAAATGATAAATGGTGGTGTTATTGCTATTCTGGTGAAGATAACATCTTCACATGATTTGACAGCACTTGGAGGACGTGCTGTGATGATAAAAACCCAGTAATGTCAGATCTCGACCGTGGTTCACGTACAGAGCTGTAGTCCTGCAGTGGAGCCTTCAGACCCTCCAGCTGAGCCGGYAGGGACTCGAAGCTCTCAGCCACCAAGACGACGCCATCAAAACTACAAAGAGGCAAAAAACGGTTTTAGCAAACATCAACGAAAAGCAGCGAATCAGGAAGGACGGGATTGTTCCCGATACTCACTTCTGGTTTTTGAGGTCGGTGGTCCACTCAGTGGGCTGAACCCTGGACAGAAAAACAAACTGTAGTGTCAGCAAAACTAAAAGAAAAAGGAAAAAATAAATAAGCAAAATAAAATARAGATATCTTAGTGTCTGATGCAACCTGAGTCTCAAGTCTGTTAAAATCTGTTTTGAAGATAAGACCGAGCCAATGAGTTCAGACCTGCAGGACCTTTGAGACCTACAGATAAGAGCCTTAAGCTTTCTGCTCACAGAACCTTGGAAGAAGTCAAAATAAAACTCTGCAAATGAGATGAATTTCATATAAAGGCTTTGCACTTTATGGAGGTCCAACTTCCACCATTCGCACCAGATTACAGCTTTTGTTTGATGACAAAGCAGATGTGCGTCTCGTGAGCTTCAGATGACGCAGAGGAAGTAAAACTGAAAGAGTCAATTTTCATGAAAACTGAACCCAGATGTGTATAAATCTCTAAACATCTCAGTATCTGATTTTTACCACTGCGAAATTAACCATGCTTCACAGGAAGAATAAACACAAGAACACACACAGTCAGAGACAACAATAATGACGCTCAAAACCATTCAGATGTCATTCATTGAACTGAAAAAACAAGTCAGATGACAAAAAGCCTGGAGCTCCTTAGCKGTAGCTTCCAAGCATAAAAAGCACTTCTAACGGTAAACTGTCCGTGACGTGAGCGTTTAACAAGAACCAAAATTATATAGTTTAAATGAAATTATTACAACCCACCTGGCACACATCTTTACTATCCTCCCACACCGGCGTCTTTGAGAAATAGACGGACAACCACCGGTGTCTTCGTGTGCAGCGACGCTCAGCCGTCACGTGACCTGTTGACGCGCTACCTTCGCTGACTTACGTAGGTGGGAAAAATCAGAAATTTAATCAGTTTAGTCAACTTTGGGACAAAACTCAAACTACAAGAACTCACTGTTTTCTAGTAAAGTCATCGTGTAGTGTTCTTAAATACAAAGCGTCGAAATTAAGCCAGTTTGGTCGAAGTTTGCGGTTTGATTTATGATTTCCGACTGCACGTGAAAGCGGCCTTTAAACATTTGTTAGGGTTTGTTTAAAAACCGATCGAGCTAATGCGATAAGCAGCTTGCAAATTTCACAATTAACACCAAAGCCTTTATTACACGGACTGATTAGGAATAAATAGTGCCTAAAATAAACATTTATCAGTGCAATAAAATGCAAAATTTTTGACTGCACTGGCATTTCTGACCACAAAAGCTAACCGGAAGTAGCCAAAAGTGGTGCTTTCTGTGCAGAACAGTGGGAGGTGAGTGTTTACTGGACAGTTCAAAGGGCTGTGCAGTCTCGGTGTGGTGGTCTCACACTGTCTTCGACCTGCAGGTAGGCATTTAGACAGCTCAGTTAAGTCTCATGTTGTGGTTTATTTGTTATTTGCAGTGACTTTACAGGCTGTTTGTAACTAGTTTGAACTGAGTTTACATGCATGTTGCTTTTCTAAYTCTTCTGATTATGAGTTGAAGAGTTTTGTTTCAAAAGTAAAAGTTTATGAAGTTGAGAAATGCTAAAATGTGTGTGTCAGTTTGTTAGTATTATATATAATTGTTTTTGCTTTGCAAATAATTCACAAAGTAATTTAACAACAGAAATCCAGCTTAAAAGTTACAGWGACTGGGTTTTTACAAGTTTTTACGGATTAAAATGACAGGGATTGCATAAATTTTTATTTATTTTTCTATTGTGTGTGAACCTTTAGTATTTATGTTTAACATTTAACATTTTAGTTAAATGTTTAACCTTTTTCGGTTTTATTATTTAACAGATGAGACCTCCTTTCGGCTCCTTCTTCCGGAGTTTCCTCWGTCGGAGTCAAACAGCAGCAGCTCACAGGCGAGGCTTGAGTGGACCGGCTATGCGTTTGGTGCAGTTTCGCGGCAGCGGCGATGGAGACGGCATCAGGGTGGGAGTGGAGCAAGGCGAGGGGCTCGGCGTGGTGGATCTGAAGGCGTTCGATTCCTCCATGCCTTCGACAGTCAGAGAGCTGCTGGAGCTGGGAGACCGAGGTTTGGAGTGTGCGCAGAGGTACCAAACACTTCCTCAGTTTAACGTTGTCATTTTCTTCTCTTCATCGTAATCATGACCCTGCTGTCGTCTCAGAGCCTTGGTGTCAGGTCAGTGTCTRGTGGACAGATCAACCATCCAGCTACTGTCTCCTATTTTGGCCCCAGAGAAGGTTGTGTGTGTGGGTATGAACTACAAGGACCACTGCCTGGAGCAAAAYGCCCCCATCCCAAAAGAACCCATCATCTTCAGCAAGTTTCCCAGCGCCATCACGGGCCCGTATGACAACATTACTCTGCCTCCAGAGAGCCAGGTGAGAGGAAACGGACATCACTGAACTGAATTTGACTGTAAGAAAATGGAGCAGTGTGTTGAAGGCACGTGGTCGAGAACTGAGCCGTTATCTTTATAATCAATACAACTGAACTCTGGAGGTTCAACTGACCGTTCAGTAAACATCATGTGGAAAAACACTTGGTTGCTCTCAGATTACAGGCACAAAAATCTACACCTTCATTACATACAGTGTTTTMTGATGGCAGTCACATTGTACCACAAGTTATGTTTTCACGAGAAAAAATGTCAAGATCCTTTATGCCAGCAGATGGCACCACACTTAATTATATCAAATGCTTCAAAACACTGACTCATTTAAACACAATTGCCTCACATTGATTCAGAAAGCTCAGATTTCTCCACCACTAATTAAAAGAATTAGATYGGGTGTCCGATCCYGGTCCTTGAGGGCCATTATCCTGCAYGTTTTTCAGCTTTCTCTGCTGCAACACGCCCGATCTGAATGAATGGGTGATAAACAGGCTTTTGCAGAACATGAAGAGGTAATTCAATCACTGAATCAAGTGTGTTGGAGCAGGGAAACAAGTAAATATAAATACATGCAGGATAGAGGATCAGGATTAGACACCCCTGATTTAATGTTTTTTTTTTTTTTACATGAAATAGTGAAAGGGCTGTAATGATCATAGCTGACCACAAGAGGGCAGCGTGGTTCAAAGGCAAACAAATGCTTCATCTTTATGGGAAACAGGCTCTGCAGATCAGAATCAAACACACAGGGAGAATAATTTTTATTTTAGAAGACCAAAATAGCATTAACTGTTTATTGATCATTACTTCAACAGATTAAAAAGAGTTTTTCTTTATCTTAAAATCTACAACAAAAGCGCATGAAAAAATCATGGAAATGCTCAGGTTTTTGCTTTTATTTATCACTAATCTGCAGGATAGTGGATTTGTCTTTAAGTAGTGCTTTGTGAGCAGAGGTTTAAGTGTCTCATTTCCTGGGAAAATCTAAAACTTCAGGACTCGGATGTGATCAGACGGAGGTTACGATGGGGGTGGCAGACAGGGTTTTACGTTGGTTTAACTACAATCACAAGTTCAGTAACATATCCTATCACAGCCACAAAGTATGAGTAAGTTTTAAATTGGAAATAAACAGCCCAGTGTTGCAGGGTGCCTGTAGTGTCGACACACCTGGGATTAGAAAACAGTCCTGGTAGAACATTTAAACTGGAAGGAAATACTTTCTAACCATCTCCCCTCAAGCCTCAGTACAGTTAAACAACAACACTGCAGACAAGTGTAATGCAAGACCAACACAAGCTAATCCACGGTAGGTTTATTTAGTTAATCTTTGTGTATGTGGTATTGCAGATGCAGACTGTCAGGAGTCTTGTTTGTGAGGAAAGCCCGATATTCAATCACCGAGCGTGGCACACGAGTCCAGCCAGCTCAATTTATAAATCAGCTCCACGAGGGAGAAAATATTGAGTGCTGAGCTGAAGTCAACAAACGGCATTCTGATGTAGCTGTTATCTACAAGCTATGTGGACCTGGTCTTATTTAAACCCTGACAAATGGAGCCCAGTGTTTATTATGTTATTGATGTGCTCGTGGTGTCGTCATACAAAGATTATTCAACCTCTGTTGCTCCTCCAGCCGTGAGCTAGAACCTAAACTATTTCAAATGAATGATTCTGCTAAAACTAAAATAAACTACAAGTAAAAATACTTTGAATTGAAGACAATTTTTTATTTTGTCATCTGTAAACTGAGCCCAAAAATGAAGTTACTGATGCCAAATGAATTCCCTATGAAACCCTTATATATCATCCCTGTACTTACAGGTAAACATTAAGGCCGTTTGGGTCAAAGTTTGTCCACAAACACCAAATAATCCACGTCTGACTTGAGTAAGAGGCAGAAAATTAGTTTTTACAAAGAACATTTCAGCCAAGGTTAGACTTTTGCAATAATATGCACTGAAAAGTACAAAGACTGATGTTCAGAGCATCTTCATACAAGAGTCTGATATCACACTGTTAGTGCTTGTGTCAAACTCAGAGATTAAGAGGAATTATGTTCAATGGTCCTATTATTCCTCCCAAAATCCGACGCTTCATTTGCCCCATAACCCAAGCTTATCTTGAACAACAAATCCACTTAGGGGCGGGTCAAAGTCTTCAGCATTTTCACAAGCGTACAAACTGTAGGGGGGTGGGTCAGGGCCTGGTGTACGCTTTTAAAATGAAAAAGTATTTAGACTTTTCCATGACCTACATAGTTGTGTCCCTGATATTGTCCTGCAGAGCAAATATTTGGCTCATCCAAAAGACAGTTTCATGTAACAGCCACACAGATCAGTCCTTAAATCACGTGAAGCTTTCAGAAGCGAGTTCAGCAGGACCAGGAAGGACGGAGAAGCGTGACCGCGACACATTGATGTGCAACGGAAAAAAAAATTGTATAGGTCCTCTGGACGGGTTCTTCTTTAATGAAACGTTTCGTCTCTCTTCCAAGAGACTTCTTCAGTCTGAGGGTTCTCAGACTGAAGAAGTTGAAGAAGTCTCTTGGAAGAGAGACGAAACGTTTCATTAAAGAAGAACCCGTCCAGAGGACCTATACAATTTTTTTTTCCTTTGATTTTTTTACCTGGATTACTGAGATGCATCAGGACAAACCTGACAGAGCTCACCTGTGAGGTGAAAACCATTTCAGGTGACTACCTCTTGAAGCTCATCAAGAGAATACCAAGAGTGTGTGAAAAAGTAATCAAAACAAAAGGTGGCTACTTTGAAGAACCTAGAATATAAGATGGATTTTCAGTTGTTTCACACTTTTTTGTTAAGTATATAATTC